CCCTTCCTCCGTTTCGAAACTGCCATAGCCTTTTTCGGGGTTGGCGCCATGCAACAAAAACGAAGGGTCAATTGACAGCGTGCGTACTTTTACTCCAGTAGCCAGCATGTCGTCTCAATGCCACCCACATGACGCATGAGTCAGCCCCACGAGTGTTGTCTAACCCCGCCTTTCGCCGCGATGGTATCGAACTGGCTACATCGTGATTCGTACAACTCCCGCTAAACTTCCGACTAAACTTCCGGCAAAAGGTACTCTCTCCGGCTAACGCTGCGATCCATGTTAATGTCCATATGCCAATACGTCTAGGTCGTCTCTTTTTCCTCGATTAGGGGTTGGTTATTTGAATTCGGGCTTGGCCATTTGGGGTTGGTCGACCAGGGTCAAGTCGCAAGAAGCAAGGGCCTAGTAAGAGAGGTTAGGCGGGGAGGGACAAATAGTAAAAAATATGGAAGGGGAGTATTTGTCGTCTTTGGGCAGCGTCTCGGATAGCTCGGATGGTCAGATGTGGGGAATGCTGGATGTGCGGAAAGTCTCGTCAGAGGAGGAGTTTGCTTCACTGAAGAAGAAGATACGAAAGGGGAAAAAAGCATGGTTGGCCAAACAGCAGCAGCTGGTGAAGTCTCCAACGCGGAAAAAGGGTGGCCAAAAGCCTCGAGAGACGTTGGTTATCTCAGACGACGACACGAGCCGCAATAAACGGGTGGGGTTGGAAACCAACTCGGGATCCACTCCCGTGAAAGCCCCCCTTCCTAAACATCCCGCAGACCGTATAGAAAGCGGAGACCACTCAGAAGCCACGAACCGCCCAGGTCAAGCCGGGACTGGAGACAGTGCAAGTGCATCAGCAGATCCGAACCCATCAGATCCGAACCCATCAGATCCGAACCCATCAGATCCGAACCCGTCAGGTCCGAACCCGTCAGGTCCGAACCCATCAGGTCCGAACTCGTCAGGTCCGAACCCGTCAGGTCCGAACCCGTCAGGTCCGAACCCGTCAGGCCCGAACCCGTCAGGTTCGAACCCGTCAGGCCCGAACCCGTCAGGGCACGCTAGAACCGATTCCCGGCGGAAAAAGAACTCTTCGGGAAATCGGCACGCGACTCCCAAGAAACAGAAACTGCAACCGTTCAGTACTGTATCCAACCCGAACAAGTATGTCATGACGTACAGCATGCGACCTAGACAGAGTTATATGAACTCGATCACAGGTCATAAGGGCGAGTACGTTGTAAACGAAATGTTGGAGAGAGAACTTGCTGGCACAGGGCTGAAACCATGTTGGGTAAATCGATCGGAGGAAACAAGACTACCCTATGATGTAGTTGTTCTGGACGAGTCTAACACAGAGGTAATGTTTATTGAGGTCAAAGGCAGTCAGCATGAAAATAATCAATTTTACCTGAGCGCACAGGAACTGGACATGGCAATTAAAGAAGGCGACAGGTACTTCGTCTATTACGTCTCTAATCTTGCGAAAGAACCGACTCTGCGAATGTGAGCTACATACCCAATAACCTCCTGTACATTCATACCCCACCACTATGATCATATTCCACCACTATGATCATATTCCACCACTATGATCATATTCCACCACTATGATCATATTCCCCCACTATGATCATATTCCACCACTATGATCATATTCCACCACTAT